ACATATTCCATGAACTATGCTTTCATTTCTTCTTTTTTAGTTGCTAGATTTTAGCAGCCAACTGTGTCACTTTGCCACAGCCCCAAAATAGCTAAGTCGAGTGGTTGAAAATCACATTTTGTTGTCTGGCCAGGAAACCATCATGCTGATTTCAGTTTGCAAAAAATTGATTCGAGGGCAGAAGCGAGGCGCGGTGTGGGGCTCTCTCCTGCATGCTCTCTGCAGGTCTGAAGCCACGGAGAGCTGGAGACAGGGACGTGGCTGTGTCCAAGGGCCATACAAGTACAAAATAATACCCAAGTGGTATGGTTTGCTTCCCATCAGCAGCACGAAATTAAAAGCCAGAAATGACAGTAACAGGCAGACCCACCCTCCTGGGTTATAATACAGTCCAGAAGGCCTGAGAAGAATCAGCATCCCAGGGTGCAGGACCAAGCAGCTCTTTCGACAATGGATAGCACCACGCACGGCTCCAGATATTCACGCGGCACCTTAGAAACCTGTGGAAAACATTTTTCCCATTTAAAGTTGGGGACGTGGTGACCCTCCTTTGGAATGTGAGTGAGAAGGTCTCTCGGACTTCATTGAGGCTTTCTCACTTTTTTAAACCTCAAAAATCTAACCATTTCACTATTTGTACATGGGATATCCTCTTGCTAGTCTAACTTCTTGTCCTAAAAAAAGCTAAGCCAGTTTCCAAACCCATTGGTCAAATTGATGTAAATACTTCCTAAATGTTTTTGTTTTTACATACGGTTGTCCTTTTCAGTTCTAGTCTCCTCTTCCCATACACTCCTCTTCTAATCTCTTTAGTACACATAAAATAAAAATGGCTAATATACTGAGCACTTACTGTTTACCATGCAAAGTTCTCAGTCCTTTAGCACGCATTCTCGCTCAAGCCGCACAAAGACCTCAGGAGTCAGGGTCCTATTGCTGTGCCATTTCACAGAGAGAGAGAAAAAAGACAGGCACAGAGAGGTTAAGTAACTTGTCTAAGGCAGCACAGCTAGTAATGGAAAAGGCAAGCTGGCTGCAAGACCACATTCTTACATACTTCAATATACTCAGTACAACTCTCCATAGCCACCTGGTTTAAAAACAGAAACAGAAAATATTAAGTTCCAGGGTCCTACAAGACTTCTCCCTGCTATATGCTGACACACCAGTACATGGACCCTCAAGAAAACCAAAGTTCTCCCTCAATGTGAAAGCTGCCTCCCACCCCCAGTAGAGCAGGACCACCACCCAATTCAGCTAGAGGGCCTTCGAAAAAAGAAGCCAGGCACATCTCCAGCCTGGTCAACTGTCATTCCTCCACGGAGCCCTAAAAGCACTTCTGACACTGTTTTTGCAAAGAAGCCTATCAAGCACTATACTCATAAAATCTTTGAACCCGCAACGTCCTGGCAAACCATCTCACATAGGTTATCTATTTTTTTTTTCTGTCAAACACCAGAGATTCTGCTAGAAACGATACCAGGTAAAGGGGCCCCTCCAATCCCAGGTGTCCCTACAGAAGCAGACAATGGCACAGGGAGCCCTCTAGCTACTTCAGGCAATCTTACACAGCTATCTCTTATAAACCTCCCCAACCCCTTCAGAATGGGAGCAAGCCACAAATGTTATCTATTGTAGATTTCAATCACCAGACTTTCCTCAAAATGAAATTCACCTGCATTACTTCCAGATTTGCCTTTTTTTTTTTTAAAGAGACATTAACAATTCAGTGGTATTAGAACTTGGAGATAGAGGAATTGTAAGAAAAAGCAGGAAGAGGTAAACAAGGGTTTTTAAAACACATTTCCTTTTTGGAGTGTTGTTGTTGGGGGATTTTTTTGGTTTTTTATTTGTTTGTGTTTGGTTAGGATTCCTTGTAAACATAACCTCGCCCCCCAGGCCCCCAAAAGAGTCAAAACAAAGATACAGATAACCTTTTACCTTACAAATGTGCCTCTGATCTTTTAAGTGCACAGAACATTGCCACAGTCCTATGTTTAGTTCTTTACACGGAAGATGGTCACTCCCATTTCTCAGGGAGAGAGCCCAAGTACCTGATCTTTTAATCATTTGCAAATATTTAGTGAGGCCCTAATTAATGGGTGCCCAAGCAACGTCATTCTGGGACAAACTCCACAAGCAACTCCCACTGCCTGCTGGGGGCAGGCTCTTCTCAAGCCATTATTTCTTTCCACGAAGCCCTACACAGTACTTACTAGCTTTGCCTACAATAAGCTCTGGTGGGAGCTGGGCACACTTCCTTGGCCTCCTTCATATTATTAGATATACAGGCCTTTCGTTCTCCACATACAGCCAAAAATGTAGTTTCAGTGATTACCACTTATTGCCTGAGTGTGGTCAACCTGTACCAGAGCACATCAAGGGCTTATTGGGGAGGGAAGTGGGTAGAGAATCAAGAATTTCTGAGATAACTTCAGAAGTTGTGCTTTATGAAAGGTGATTTCATGGGAGATGTCCCCCAGGATGAAAATGTCAATCATCATTTTTCTTAATCTTGCAATTCAGAATGCACACCCGTCTTAAAATCTTTACCTGCTTAGAAATACCACTGCATTGTCCTGAGTCCTATGCAAGTAAAATGTTGAACAGAAATTCAGATTAAAAAAATATAGGGGCACCTGGGTGGCTCAGTGGGTTAAAGCCTCTGCCTTCAGCTCAGGTCATGATCCCGGAGTCATGGGCTGGGGTCCCACATCGGGCTCTCTGCTCAGCAGGGAGCCTGCTTACCCCTCTCCCTCAATCCCCCGCCTGCCTCTCTGCCTACTTGTAATCTCCGTCTGTCAATTAAATAAAATATTTAAAAAAGAAAAAAAATATATATGTATATATATATATATTTTTTTTTACCATAAAAGTAAAGAGGTAAAGCCACAAAGCATTAGCAACACTTGCTGTCTTGACCTAGGTTAAGCTAATGTTAAGTGTCCAGACTGTCCTTTTGGTTAAGAATTTTCCAGAAAAACAAGTAAGGGAGTACGGTGGGGGGGGGGGGTCCTCAGTAACAATGGCTATGGGGCATTTATAATGATCTTACACGAATGGCAAGAAAGTCCGTTCCAATTGGTGCATCAGTATGTAACATATTATACTACATTAACTTGGGAGTTTCAGAACACAAAAATGAACGTAAAAGGGGTTTGGTTTGGTTTTGCTGTCCCTGCACTGCCTCACGAAAACAATATAATCTTTTACTTGGTGAAAACAAGTCCTTAATTATGGGGAGAAGCCTCACTTTTGGAGACTTTTTTCTCCTTTCAGCCAACCTTTCCTTAACCTTTCTCCCTCCAGCCACAGCAACTTCTCATTCCTAAAGAGCTCTATATGCCCATTTGGTATTGCAGTTCTAACTCCATCAACTCTGTAAGAGGGACGCTGTTTACACAGAAACATGAAAGACTATATTTATTCCACAACTGTGTCAGAGGGCCTGAGTTTCAAGACCCACCAAACAAAGATTCTTCATGTTGGAACAGGACATCTCAAGTCGGGGTTAGGGAGTGGGGGGACATGCATGATTTCTCCCTCCATCCCTAAAGACTAAGACTGCTGCTGACTTTCAAACATTACTTGCACATTTTTCTAAGAAGGCCATAAAGGATGTCCATCAGGAATAAGCATGTACATGCAAATGCGCCAAGAGACAGTGGAGAGAGATTCACCAGACATCAATCACGGATCCTCTGATTCTGACACATCCAAAGTACACAGCAGAGCTTATCCATCTGAAGTGTTTCCAACGTCAGCCTCCTAGATGTAATGTAATTATGGTACAAACATATCAGAATCAAAGGAACGGTTTCACTCTGAAGGCGGAAAGAGAGAAGAAATCAATAAAAAAAAAAATTTTTTTCCGTTTCTGTTGAATAGCTTACAAATGTAAAATCATAAAATGTTAACCCTCTCAAGTAGCATATTTTGTATCCCGGTGAAGGCACTTAGACTCTCAATGATTAGATACATATATATGCCAAATGCTTAAATGAAGTATGCATAAGATTTGCTTTAAAATAATGAGGTGTTAGGGAGGGTGATGGGTACAGAAAAGACTGAGTTCATAATTGGGGTAACTGGGTAGGGATCCATTATATTTTCCTATTTTCATAAATCTTTCTATAACAGTATTTTTTAAAAAGATGTAGAAAAAGAATGTACTATGCACTAAAATATATTAGATAGCACTTCTGCTCTGAAAAGTGGAAATACCACTTTAAAAACACTAACGGAGATGCTGGTCCCACACCTGCCATATACTGTACTGTTGTTGGGAGACTAAAAGCCACTGTTCCTGACCAGCTGGGGAAAGATCCATGGCAGTGCTGTTTCCAAAACCCTTCCAAATTACAGCTACCCTGTATCCTGAACACGAGCGGAGAACAAATCTAACTGGAAAGTTTGTCATTCTGAGAGGAAACAAACAAAATAACAAGGGATTTGGGATAAGGCCTCACAAGGAGAACCCTAATCCAACACCACAGGCATCTTTGTCCGTTGTGGCAACCAGATAAAAGCTTCCAAGGTTACGGAGGGCAAGAAGGGGGGGACCCAAAGCGAACGCAGGCCCCCACCGGATTCCGAACCGGCCGGTAGCAGCAGCGCTCAGCCGAGGCCGCCTCCTCGCTCCAGGGCGCACCCGCAGCCCCGGAGCCTCGGAACCTGGCCGCGTGCGCCCCACCCCCGCTCCCACCGCGGCCCCACCTCGCCCAGAAGGCAGAGCCCGACCAGTGGAGGTGGTAGGAGCCCCACCGGTGGCTCAGGGGCGCCCCCTGAGGTCCAGCGGCGTCGCGGCACCCTCGAAAAACGGAAAACCGCCCTCTCCCACGGCTCTGACATTTTAACTTTGCCTGGTTCCAAAGGCTGCTCGCTGCACCCTCTCCAGAGGCACTTTTCCAAACCACAGCCCCTCTTCCCCGCGCCTCACACCATTGCCCCTTCCCTTTCCGACACCCTCAGGCTCCAAGGCGAGGGAATGTGCTATTTACCTCGCAGCGTGGGCACGAAAAGAAAATGTGGAAGATGAAAACTGTCCAAGACCCACGAAGGCGGCATCACTGGAGGTCCCATTTTGGATTTCAAGCTTCCTGAGACATCAGGAAAAAGAAAACCACGGCCAACCCACTGGCTGCATACCCGAGCTAAGGAGAACGCCAGACGTGAAATTAGAAATTCCTCTTATTTCGCAAGGCTGCTCTCCTGCTGCCTCCCACTGCCCCCATTAAAAAGCATGACCCTTACAAAGCTCGACCCCACTGTGCACCTGAGCCCACTCAGCCGGCAAGCTCACGGCAAAGAAAGTCCAGAAGGAGCAGATAAAGAACACAAATACTGAGCAACAGTATTTTAAAGGAGAGAGGGCATTTCTTGAGGGGAAATGTCCACACCGCTCCCAGTCCGGGGGAGGCAGGACCCTAGTAGGCAAACCGCAGGCCTCGGGGTTAGGGTGGGCACACGTCCTCGCTAGCCATCCGAGCTGGGTTTCTGGGCAGTGGCAGGAGCTCCCTGCGGTTCCGGGGGCAGGAGGATGCGCAGGGAGGAAAGGGGGTGCCGTAGAAAAGACTGTGTTTTGCCTCTCTGCTCCTCGAGGCCACCCCTGTGCCTGCAAAAGGGACACTCGCTGCCACTCCCCAAGGAGGTCCCCCAGGGCAGCGAAAGTGCCCGCGCCCTGTTGCAGGGCGCACGATGTAGCTGGAGGACCCGCTGCACCAAAACCTTGCGCTCAGGCCGCTCGGAGACAAGCGGCTGTGACCAGAGAGACCAGAAACATCGGGGCACGTTCCTTTTTCCCTTCGCTCAGATAACCCCCACCTCTAGGTAACCAAGAGCTAATGGATGAAAGGGCAGAGAAAACGGGGGGGGGGGTGTCTCTATCCTTAGGACAACGAGATTTTAAAAAATTAAAAAGCGAATCGCCCCCCTTCTTCTCACCCGTTCCCCGGCTAGGGCAGAGGACGTGGCCTCCACCCCCGAGGAGGGGGCCGGACAGACTCAAAGGAGCTCTGGGGTGCAGCTGTAGCGGGGTGGGGGTGGGGGGGCTGCGTGAGAGGCGAGGCAAGCAGCTGGCCTCTGCCCTGCGGGAGGGGAAAGGAAAGAGGGTCGGCCAGTGGAGGGCTGGAAGTGGAGGGTCGCAGAGCCGCACACCGCTACGTGCGGTGATTTATTATCGTCACCAATGGCCAATACTGTTCCCGTCTTAACCTGGCCAGAAAGGAGCGGGTCTAGGTCGGCCAGCAGCGAACAGCCTGCAAAGAGGCAAAGATGAAGGTAGGCAGGGCGCGCGAGACAGGAAAAAATTCGCCCGGGCGCGAAAAGCAACCCAGCAGCCGACCACCCCCGCCCCCCCCCCCGCACCCCTACAGGAGCAACACCGCGGAGCAGAGTTGCAGGGTAAAGGGGCCGCGGGCCGGGTCTGGGGAAGCCACGATCTCCCTAAACCGCCTGTTCCCAGCCCTCCCACCGCTCCCGGGCCCCTGCGCCGGTGAAGGCTGTTTTGCTCCAGCACTGAAGGGCAGCCCACGTCCCAGCCCCGAGCTGGGGTCGCCCCTCGCCCCGGACACAAGAACGCAGGCTGCTCTCAACATTCCCAATCCTCCACGGTTAGTCTCCAGCTTCCATCCTCCTAACACCCTCCAAAGGGTCGGGAAGCAGCAAAGCAAGTCCCTCTCCTTCCGAGCTCCTTCGATCCTCTCGGGGGTGTGGGGCGCACCCTGGGCCCCCCAAACCCACAGAGGCATCCTCCCCTGGCCCCAGTCCCCTCAACGGCCCCAAAGCTCTAGCTCTCTCGAACGGTGACGGATCTGCAAAGCGAGCTTTTCTTCTTACTCGGGCTCCCCCAGACGCCCCCAAACCTGAGCGAGAGCAGACCCCTTACGGCCCCTGTCCCCTTTTCCCCGCCAGCTCCTGCTTCCACCATCACCAACCATCAGCCTCCCTAAACGCCGCCAGAACCAGCGGAGCGGATCCCTCTCTCCTCCCCGTGTGCCCGGCCCCCCTTCACCCTCTCTGGGGTCCCCGGGACGGGCGCCCGAGCTCCGTGCCGCGGCGACAACTCCGCATCCCCCGCGCGCGCCGGCCAGGGCCGGGTCCCCTCAGCGGCCAGCACTCACCGGGGAAGCACACGACATAATGGAGCACGGAACTGGTGATTTTCAGGAACAAAATCCACCAACACGGTTCCAGTAACCTCCGCATGTCCGAAAACGCACATCGAAAAGAGGAAGGCAGGGGGGTAAACTTGTTGAATAAGTTCTTGTCTCCGTGTGAGCCTCCGCTAAGCCCTGGCTCGTCCCCTGTTCGCCCGCTCTACGGGCCCCCCGCGCTCGGCGGCCCGAGTCCCCCTGGAATCCGGGAAGCCGCCGAGCGCCCCCCGGAAAAATCTCAAAAAAGTGACCGGGAACGCGGAGCCACGCTGGGGACGATCCTCGGTGGAGATGGGCTGCTTTCCGTTCAAAAAAAGAGCAAGCCGAGCGAGCAGGGCGAGTAATCGGTGGGCGGCGACGATGCCCGGGGCCCGGGGCAGGCAGGGACCGCAGGCGGCAGCGGCGAGCAGCCGAAGATCCCCAACTTGAGTCGGCGGCGCAGCGCAGCCCGAGAGCCGGCGGGCGGCGGCGGGGCTGAGCGCGACGCGGCGTCTCCGGGCTTCAGGCAGGCAGCTCCTTCCAGGGCCCGGGGAAGGAAGGAGGCATGTTTGCGAGCGGGGAAGGGGAGGGGAGAGGCGGGGGGAGCCAAGAGCCCCCCAAAATAGAAACGGCCGGAGGAAACGCAGGAAAACACAAAGGATCTCACAGTGGCGCTGGGGCGAGGGCGCCTTCAGTCCATGCTCCTGAAAGTTGTGGCTCCAGCGCAGGCTGGGGAGGAACGAGGAGCGCGGGGCTGGAAACTGGCCATGCCTCCATACAGGAAGTAACATGTGAGCATGGATCCTGGCAGAGACTTTAAAGCCGGCGAGCGAGCGAGCAGGGGGCGCGCGGCGGCGGGCGCGGCGGCGCGCGAGCAGGGGCGCGCGGCGAGCACGGGGGCGCGCAGCCGGCGTTGCGGGCCACGAGAGCGCGCCCACCGCGCTCTTAAAGCAGCCGTGCTCGGCTCTTGCATCAGAGGGGTCTCACAGCCTGGTTCTCCTCGCGCGCCGCCCGCGACACTGCGGGCTCGGCTGAGGCAGTTTGGGGTCTGGGGACGGCTCCGGCCGGGTCCGGAGAGAGGAAGGAGGGTGGTTGCCTTCTTGAGCTGGCGAGTGTTTGCCAGATTCCAGTTCTTCGAGCTCTTAAAGACGCCGAGCTTTGCGCGGGCTTGACAAGAGGTCTCCCCTCCGTCCGCGTTGCTCGCAGATCCCGGGCCTGTGGGGAGGGGGGCTTGGTTCGGGTCTAAGGAGAGAAGGGGAACGGCCGGCTCCTTTCCTTTTTTGGATGAGGGGGTTTTCTGTTCGTCTCCAGCACTTCAGCAGAGCCGCAGCGGGGCGCGCCCTGCTCAGTCCCCGCTCGCGCCCCCAATCCGGCACATTCCCCCGCCTGGAAACAAAGCCGAGAGGCCTGTGCACTCGGGCTGCGTTGGGATTTTATTTATTTATTTATTTATTTATTTTTCTTTGAGGCTTCCGTTGGCCGAGTCGGCGGCTGGGGACGGGGTGGGTGGGGAGGGATATCGATCCTAGGCTAGCAAAATCCAGCCCTTCCGATCCCCACACCCTTTTTCCCCCTCGCCCAGATGGATCGGTGGCGGAGTTTTCCCAACTCGCAGCGCCGCGGGAGGAGGGAAGGTTCCCGCGCTCCGGCTGGGTGGTGGGGAGAGCGCAGGAAGTGTGCCTCTCACCCTTGGCTGGGTGAAAGCTGCGCCGCGGGGCAGAACCGATTTCCTGGCAGTTACCCGGGGAGCGGCTGCCTCTTTAGCAATCCGGGAGAGGCGTCCGGGGGAAATGGGAGGACTGGGCTTATCTGTAATGAGTTTTGTCCCCTGGCTCTGGGTGAGAAGATCTTTATCGCTTAGACTTCTAAGCGCCCTATTTTCTCTTCTTCCGCGGGTGCTAAAAGTCGGGGAGGCGGGCTTTTGATTAAACGTGTAATTAAGCCAAGGTAATTTGCCATTTGTAATTTTTGCCTAATTTTTTTTTGCCTCTGTTGAAAAGCCATTCTGACAAATGTTTTTAACGTGCCCCTGCTGTTTCATCCCACCACGCAGGGTCCCCCACCCACCCAAACATCCCAACCGGATGCTAGGTTTTCAAATAACGTACAGATGTTCCGAGATCCTCCTGCAAGATGTGATTAGGGAAGCAGTTTCACACCCACACTTCCAAAAGAAAAGCCTTTGAAAAGTTAAGTTTGGGATTACAAACTAATAAAAGCCAGGAAGTTCCTGGGAAGGGCCCGCGCTCTATCTTTAGCTGAACAGGGGTGAATACCCACCCTTAGTGTGGGTAATGAGTTTGTTTGCTTTGGAATTTGGTCCTTCCTGGTTTTGTTGGAACCCTGACTCCCCCATAAATGCTTGAGGGTCAGTTTTCTTGGGAGTGTTGTATTTAAGGGATATCCCTTTGTCAGTGGGCGCCCTGAGAGAGGTTAAAATGACCCCTGCGTGTCTACTGAAGAGTGACTGATAAAATCCGTGTAATAGGAATCAGAACAGAACACACCTGCGCACACCTCCCCAGGTGAGTTTCCTCCTTTGCAAAATGTACATAATAAAAACTGCCATTTGTGGAACGCCTGCTACTTACCCGGCACTGTGCTGAAGTCTTTCCACAAAGTGTTCATTCAGCAAATTCATTGAGCGCTGAACTGTGCAGGGCATAGTAGGAACACACCCATGAAGAAAAAAGGCAAGGCCTGTGACCTTTGTGAAGCTTACCTTCCGTAGTGGAGGATACATTCTCTCACAGAATCCTTACCATAGTTCTGCCAGCGGTCGGGATTATTTTTCCCCTTTTATCGACAAAGAAACGGGCTCTGAGGAGTAAAATAATGGATCCCCAGCTTGTGAGTAGTAGAGCTGGGATTCTGAGACCTGTCTGCCTCCACAGCTTTGCAAAGGCGAAGAAATGATGAGACACTGAAATGTGAATGCGAGAAGTGGCTTAGGAGTGGGGGAAAGTTCACATGGGTTTGAAGAGTAAATTACCACTACCCTTAATAGGATGCCCCACACTAAAAATTAATATTGAATTAGATCTAGGCTGGTGACTGTCCTGGGGACCTAGGGTGGAGTTTTGCAAACTGCTTTTGAAGGCACCTCCCACAACTCAGGCCTTACCAGGCCTCTTAATAAAAGGAAGTTTAAATGAATACCAAACTGGATACCTTTTCATTCATTCTACGACCAATTACAGAACAGCTCATACATACCAGACACTGTATCAAGTGTTGGCAGCACAGAATGACCAGGCAGTGAACCTGACAATTCACCCACCTGATGATTACAACCCACCACCCTGCCAGGAGACATGGCAGGGGGTGCACAATATGGTGAGCACCCCAGGAGAGTTGGAGTGAGGGATCCTGGGAGTGCCAAAGGAGGGAAGAGATACCCTGATGAGAAGATAAGGCTGCAAAGAGAGAGGGGCCAGTATGGGTAATAAATTACCCCCCAAACGTGGCAGCTTCAAACAGTACACGTTTATTATCTCACAGCTCTGTAGGTCCAAAGCCCGGGTGTGGTGTAACTATGTCTTCTGCTGAGGGTCTCCCTAGACTGAAATCAAGGTGTCTGTCAGTCATTTTCATCTGCAGCTCAGGGTCCTCCTCACAGCTCTTTCAGATTATTGACAGAACTCAGTTCTTTGTATTTGGAGGACAGAGATCCCTATTGTGTTTCTGGTTGTTGGCCAGAGGTAGATCTCAGCTAGAGCTGGTCTTCAGGTCCAAGCCACGCAGCCCTCTCACAAAATGGCTGCACACTTCTGCCAATAGAGAATATCCCTACAGGCAGCTGTGTGGGAGTTTTGGGAGTGACCACCCAACACTTTGGGCATAAAATATAACCTAATGAAGGGAGTAACTATCCCATCACATTTGTGGTCTAACCCACTCTCAGAGGTGGGGATTATACATCAGGAGGTAGGAATCTTGGGGACCATCTTAGGGTTCTCCCTACCATAGTGCCGGTGGTCTATTTTGACTATAGACTGATAGTTACAGGTGATCGGTCTCAAGCCAGTCTAGTCTGATGGGATTAACATCTGTTTTACCACAGGCGACTTAACCACTTCGTGCCTCAGTTTCCTTGTTCATAAAGAGAGAGTAATAACTGTACCTATTTCTAAACTGAGGAAATTAAAAGGAGTTAAAAAAAAAAAAGCGAAGTACTTGGAGCAGTGTAGAGCACCTAATAAGCATTTAATAAATGTTAACCTATTACTGTTGTCTGCTCAAGAAGCTGATGCAAGAGAGGGTGAATATGTTACTTTCTGCCTGCTCAACTTCCATGTCTTTTTTTCCAGTTTTCCTTTGTACTAATCTCTATGGATGGTCTTGGTCCTTCTTCCTCCAGTGATACCCCATTCCTTTCTACCTCCCTGGTTCAGCATTGACACATGTCCCAGCCTTGACCATTTGGAGCATCTCAGACTCCTGGCCTGATTGGGTTAGTAACAGCCACATGTTTCCGCTTGGTCCAGTGAGCGTCAGACTTCCTCCTGGGTTTGCCAAGTTGGATGACCTTAAGCCTCAACAAGAAAGCAGGGCTCTACTTGGGAAAAGTCTGTTTGAGAATGAAGCTGATACCCAGAGGAAAACAGAGTGGAGAGAGGGAGACCAACAGACCTCTGATTTAACCACTTGAGTCCTTGAATTAAGTCCTACTGGAAGCCAGACCAAAGCCCCAAACTTTTCAGTTACTTGGGCTGGTAAATTCCTTTTATTCCTTGTGCCTCTTTGAGTTGGATTTTTATTAAAATGAAACTAAAAACTTGAAACCCGAAACTGATCGCAAAAGATCAGTAAAATACCCACACTTCAAAAAAAGAAAAAAGAAGCAGGAGCTCTTAGACGTAAGTGATTTTTTTGGTCAAGGTGATTGAAATAGTAAACAAAAGACTCAGCTCTACTGTATCAATCATTTACAAATCACTGTAACAAATCACTGGAAAATGTAGTAACTTGAAACAACCACCTTATTATTTATTTATTTATTTATTTATTTATTTTTTACTCTTGATTTTGTAGGCCAACAACCTGTGCTCTGCCAGGCAATACTTGTTCTAGTCATGTCTGAGGTCTTTCATGCAGCTCTCGCACCAGCTGCAGGAGCCTCGACTGGGTCTGCCTGGTCCTGCCTGCTCCAAGATGGCCTCACTCACTTGCCGGGCAATTAGTGCTGTTGGCTGGGGCACCTCGGTACTCATCCACTGACAATTCCAGCAGCCAGTCTCAGACTTATTCACAAAATGGTCTCAGGCTAGTAGGAATGAAAGTGGAGGCTATAAAATGTCTTGATATCTAGCCTCACCAGTGGCATCACATCATTTCCATTGCATTTTATTGATCAAAGCAAGTCTAAAAGTCCCAGTTCAGGGAGAGGGAGAAACAGACTCTGGTTCTTATGGGTAGGAGCAGCAAACTCTCCTTGCAAATGGGGTATGAAAACAAGGATTAGAGGAATGGTGGTCTTTGTAAACAATCTATCTACTCTTAAAACTAGATGATGTATATAGGTGGACTTGTGTCCCCCTTGCCCCCTGCCCTGCAAAAAGAAATGTTGAAGTCCTAACCCTTAGTACCTAATTCTTAGAACCTCAGAGTATGACGGGACTTGGAAACAGGGTCTCTACAGAGGTAAGTGAAAATGAGGTCATTAGAGTTGGCCCTAATCCGATAAACTGGTGTCCTTATGAAAAGCAGAAATGTGGACACAGACACAGACAAGTACAGAGAGAACACAATGTGCAAACATATGGGAACTAGATGGCCATGTGACTAAAGTGACACATTTATAAGCCAAGAAATGCCAAGGATTGATGACAAACACCAGAAGCTGGGAAAGAGCAGGGAA